ACCCTGACAGTTATTAGGGGCAGGGTAAGGGGCGACCCTTCTTGTTTAAGCTAAGGGAGGCCTTGTTCTTCTGGCTTTGCAGGAGCCTTGGTAGTCTCAAGGGAGTGGCCTGGGGAAAGACCCTAAGTGCAGGGTTTATCATCACAACCACAGTGGAAAGGGAAGACGGACAACTCCCACATACCCAAGGTAGCACCAAGCCTGTCCTTCAGAAGCAGCAGGACTTGTGTGAGCCCTGCCCTCTCTTAGCTCCAGTCTCTCCATGGGAAGCTGCGGGCTCTCCGGCTGTGTCTTCTGGCTGGCACTGTAACTGCAGCCCACCCAGCCCTGTCTTCCCCAAAGGACAGCATCAGAGTGTCATGCAAAATCCTTCAACACTTCTACCACATCCTGCCACAACAGACCTATACGAGTGTACGTGACTTTCCGGATTTCTCATAACACAGCTCTGCCCTGCCTATTCAGAAGCATTTCTTAATATTTCCCCACATGCACTGGGGCCACTTGGGCTTGGCAGTGCGTCCTCTTCCCTGTGATCTTGCCCTGAGGCACCTGCCTGAATGTCTCCCAGCTTGTCTCTCCCGGGGCATCAGACTCCTCCTGTTGCCCTCTGAAATCCTTCCCCAAAGGCCATCACTGACATGGCCATGACCCAGGGAACTCCCTTGGCATGGAATTTCTTGGCCTTTTTTATTTTTGACTGCAGGGCTTCACTCTGAGCCACTGTGTTTGCTCGTCACCTTTTCTAAAGCAGACCCTGCCCATTGCTTTTCTACCTCTACCTGGCTTAATTTGTCTTCACAGTGTTTCTCATTGCCTGAAATTAAGTTACATAGTTATTTAATAATTGTCCCTTGTTCCTCGTGAGTGATATATCCCATGATGTAGATTGTAAACAAGATGTGTCCCCATTGCCTACATCTGCGTGGAAGACAAGAACACAACCACAAACGTTTGCGTGGCAACTATGATGGGGCACACCATTCCAAGTGCTTTTTTATTTTATTAATTTAATCCCCACAATAATTATTTCTTTTTTCTTAATTTTTTTTGACATGGGGGTCTCACTCTTGTTGTCCAGGCTGGAGTGCAGTGGCAGGATCTTGGCTCACTGCAACCTCCCCCTCCCTGGTTCAAGCGATTCTCCTTCCTTAGCTTCCCAAATAGCTGGGACTACAGGCGTGTGCCACCACCTCCAGCTAATTTTTTGTATTTTTAGTAGAGATGGGGTTTCAGCGTGTTGGCCAGGCAGGTCTCAATCTCCTGACCTCAAGTGCTGGGATTATAGGCGTAAGCCCCCCTGCCCAGCCAAGGTAAGTATAATTATTACCCCATTCACAGATGAGCAAATTGAATCACAGATGGGGTGCATAAAAGCCTTATGCACACTACTAGTATGTGGCCAGGCTAAGATTCAAGTGCAAGAGGGTTGGATCCAGAGCTCCAGAGTTTAGCTGATGGATGCTACGACATAGGCACTCAATAATTACCTTGAATGATCAGAGGAGTAAAAGTCATTTTCTATCAACAATAGAAAGTTTCCTTATGGCATGGAAGCACACCTGCTCTTTCTTTCTTTCTTTCTTTCTTTCTTTCTTTCTTTCTTTCTTTCTTTCTTTCTTTCTTTCTTTCTCTTCTTTTCTTTCTTTTTTTGAGACAGAGTATTGCTCCATCACCAGGCTGGAGTGTAATGGAGTGATCTTAGCTCACTGCAACCTCTGCCTCCTGGGTTCAAGCAATTCTTTTGCCTTAGCCTCCTAAGTCGCTGGGATTACAGGCATGTGCCACCACGCCTGGCTAATTTTTGTATTTTTAGTCGAGACCGGGTTTCACCATTTTTGTCAGGCTTGTCTCGAACTCCTGATCTCTTGATCCACCCACCTCAGCCTCCCAAAGTGCTGGAATTACAGCTATGGAGCCCAACCATACACATGAACTTTCTTTTTTTTTTTTTTTTTTTTTTTTGAGACGGAGTTTTGCTCTTGTACCCAGGCTGGAGTACAATGGCGCAATCTCGGCTCACTGCAACCTCCGCCTCCTGGGTTCAGGCAATTCTCCTGCCTCAGCCTCCCGAGTAGCTGGGATTACAGGCATGTGCCACCATGCCCAGCTAATTTTTTGTATTTTTAGTAGAGACGGGGTTTCACCATGTTGACCAGGATGGTCTCGATCTCTCGACCTCGTGATCCACCCGCCTTGGCCTCCCAAAGTGCTGGGATTACAGGCGTGAGCCACAGTGCCCGGCCATACATGAACTTTCTAACTCTACCCCATCTCAGACCTAAGCAGGTGACATGACCCTTAGTAAACTCCGTGCCCCAGGACTGGCTAATACCACAGACCCTCTATCTTGAGGATGCTCTCACCTGACCAGGTACACACGACTGAGAAAATGCTTCACCAACTCTTCAATCTCTACTCCATACACCAAGGAACACTTGAGAATTGCCTTTCAGGAAGAACTTTAAAAATAAAATGATGCCTATTAATATGTCAGTTTCTTACCAAGAAGTGCTCAGGCACATGACCGATAGAAGCCTGATAGTAATTTGGATTTAAAGAGACCTGGGTCCCAATGCCATCGTCTTGCTAAGTGACCTTGAAAAAGCCTTTAGTCATATGCAGCTCAGTTTTGTCACCTGCAAAATGATGATGACATTGGTATCTCTTTCCTAAAGTCTATGTGTCTCAAACACAGTAAGCACGAAAAGACATTGACTATCCTAATTATTAAATATCAACGACTCACCTACTACTTGTATGGGAGGGTAGGGAGAGTTCTGAACATGAGACAAGTAGACATAATGAAGACTGTCTAGGACTTTTTAACCCTAAGGTTGTATGAAGATGTTTACCCACGATGTTAAATAATGCCATTTGTATGTTATTCCACAAACAGTTATGGAGTGGCTGGGATGAGAAGGGATGACCTACAGTGCTAGATCTTAATTCTAATTCCTTCTTTAGCATGATTTCGATATTACAGTGTTTTGCAACCCAGGGAAACACCATTACCATTCCTAGAAGTTAGGAAAAGGAGCCGTCAGTCACAGAGGCCAGGACTGAGGCATTCAGAAACAAAAGGCAGGCTGGCACGGTGGCCCATGCCTATAATCCCAACACTTCAGGAGGCTGAGGTCAGTGGATCACTTCAGGTCAGGAGTTTGAGAAAACAAAACAAAACAAAAAATCAGCCAGATGTGGTAGCACACACCTGTAATCCAGGTACTTGGGAGGCTGAGATAGGAGAATCAGTTGAACCCAGGAGGCGGAGGTTGCAGTGAAGGGAGATCGTGCCACCGCAATCTATCCTGGGCAACAGAGCAAGACTTCATATCAAAATTAACAGAAAAAAAGAACAGGAAAGAAACAAAGGCAAAGTGATACACCAGAGGGCTGCTGAAATCAGAAAGGGATTCCCCAAATTTAGGGCTGTAGTACCAAAGTATCCACAATCACAGCAGAAGGAAAGTGGTCCTAACCTTGAGAAGGACACAATCCATAGAATAGATTATGAAGGATTTCATAGTCTATTTCTTCTGAGGTGATGAGAGGACATGGGATAGGGTGCTGAAGGTGTAACAGCAGTAAGGGCGATGGCTTCATGCTACCCAGCGCTGGGACCTAAAGAAGAAGAAGAGTAAAGATGGGCGCAAAGAGCTGAGTTTTGGTATCGCCTGAATCACAGACAGGAACGAAACTAAGCTCCCTTCCATAGTGACACTGGCATTAGGGTTGCCAGATAAAATACAGGATGTTCAGTGAAATTTGAATTTCAGATAAGCAATGAATGTTTTTTAGTCTAAGTATATCCCAAATATTGCTTGTGATTTACTTATACTGAAAGTATTTTTTGTATATCTGAAATTCAAACCTAACTCGGCATCCTATATCTGTATTTGTTAAATCGGTGTGACCACTCTATCTGGGATGTCCACCTGGAGTCTCTAAAAAGCAAAGCAAGAAATGCAGATTATTAGATGGCAATTATCAGGGTTCTTTAGAGAAACAAAATCAACACGGTGAATACATTGTGTGTGTGTGTGTGTGTGTGCATATGTGTGTGTAGAGAGAAAGAAAGAGAGAAAAGCAGGAGAGAGGGAGAGAGAGATTTATTCGAAGGATTGGCTCATACAATTTTGGGGATTGTTAAATCCACAATTTTCAGGGCGTGCTGGCAGGCTGGAGACCAGGGATTGTTGGTGTTGAAGGTCATCGTCAAAGGCAGTCAGCTGTCAGAATTCCCTCCCCCTTGTGGCATTCAGGCTTTTTCCCTATTGAGGCCATCTACTGATTGGACGAGGCCCACCCACACCACACAGGGTAATCTGCTTTACTCAAAGTCTGCTGATTTACATTTTAACATCAAAATGTAATTTAATTGAACTTACATTTTAAAAATACCTTGGCAGAAACATCCTTTGACCAACTCTCTGGGTACTGTGGCCTAGCCAAGTTGACACATAAAAATAACTAACACATTAGGGAAGGCAGCTGGCTTCCAATTAACAACATATTCATGGGAATCTCATCACAGAAGGACGTGTTAAATCATAAAGCAAAACAGCAAACACATATACTGCAACAGCACAAGTGCTCTGGGCATATGCCTTGCTAACGGGAACCTTTTTTCTTTTCTGAACCGGTTGCCTAGAGATGCTTTGTTTTGCTTTGCTTTTTTTCCTTTTTTAAAACATTGATCCTTGGATGAAAGGAAGTGAAGGTTACTATTTGTTTTAGCTCCTGCTCACAACAGAATGGCTGTGAGAGAAATAGTGAATTTGAAAGGGCTTAGCTTGCCGGAGCCAAGCAGAATTCGAAGCCTCCCTAGATCACTGTAGACAAAACAAGTCGTATGGCCAACACTTACTCATTTGGCCACATAGGCACTTGCTTGGACTCCCAGTCAAAAGCTACATTTAGCAGAACAACTGTCAGCCAGCTTCCCGGTTTGAAGGTGAGAGCTCACGGGGCCAGTGAGCTCCCGTTGGTCTCTGTTTACTGCTTCACAGCAAGAGGTTCAATGATGACAGCATCTGGGGAGACCTCGGTGGACCTCGGACACCCGTCCCATGGGTGTTAAGCCGCCCACCCTGGGTTGGGAGCCAGAGAAGAGCAGCCGGTCCCACTCCTGTCTTCACCCGCCTGTTTCCCGCAGCTTCCCTCTAATCATCCACCTACACCCGCTGCCCAGTTCCCCAGAAACCTGCCTAGTGTAAAGGGAAGCCATTCTGGAGAAGCAATTCAGAAATCAGAAAGCAAGGCCCTGTCCTCCGAGTTCTCTCCTGGATGAGGACCAAGGAGGGTAAACCCAAGCAGGGGTGGTTCTGCCACGCCCAGGTTTTGTTTATTTGCCTTTTCTGTAGATTGAGAAAAACATCTCCCTTAGCCTCCAGAGGGAGAAAACAGGGCCATATTTCCCCGAGCCATATGAGGAAAGTGGGTGATTTTCAGCTCTAATTAGAGCTGGCTCTAAGAAAACACACCATGTGCGTGAGATCTGCTTCTTCTCACATAACCCAATTGAGGAAATTTCCCCAATTAGATCTTGTTTCTTGTCTCTTTTAATCAGCAAGACTTTATAGGATGACGCTCCTACTACACTCTCAACCAATTTGCAGATCCACATATAGATAACAATGAGCATAGTAGGAAGTGTTTTATTCTTGTTTATTGAGTGCCCATCAACTTCCAGATACTGTCTTGAGGAATTCACACGTACTAACGTATTTACTCCTCGGAGGTAGGGGCTACCATGACATCTGGCTTCAAAACTCCCTCTTTTCCTCAAGGGGAATCATTTTTGGGCATTTCATAATAACTGTTGACATATTAAGTCTTATAAAGCTTTTAAAGGTGTTTCTAAGAACTCATCTTCTTTCCTCTTTATTACTACTAGTGAGATAAGGTATTTTTTTGTTAACATCCCTACCACCTCCATTGGAAAAGTGAGAGAGATCAGACAGGGAGAGGTTGAGGGATCAGCCTGGCCTCCCCTGGGTGGGCAGGTGAGCTGTGTGACTCTGTACCAGACGCTCTGTCTGCCGACGCGCAGGTCCCCTTGCCTGTAGTCATCCACTGCAGTGTCAGAAATCTGTTCCCATCTTAGTGTCAAAGTCTTTCCAAAGGCAACCATAAGCCAAAAAGAAATGAATGGCTTCCCTCCATAAACCATTATTCCTCATTCTTCTGCTCTTGCCAGTCACAATCATCTGCCTTCTGGTCTTCCAAAGGAAGAATCAAAGAAGATGCTTCCAAAGGAGCCATCAAAATCTAGGAGTCATCTCTGATAATCGTCCTCCTTCTCAACATGATATTTGAAGTGCTCGTGTCCAACTGGTTGAACAAATACTAACCTAGCAGTACCACATCCAGCTATGATATGGCAGGTGCAAAGATGGGGGAAGAAAGACGGTCCCAGAGGTCGTGGTTTTGTAAAGTCATGGAGGAGATAAATGGAACGTGAATCATTATCAACTGAGATAAGAAATGAGAGGACACAGGAGAAGTAACTTAAAACATTCTTATTAATGTAAGGAACCTCATGGAGGGTGTGTTTACTTCCAAGTGTAGCAGAGAAGAGAAGAAACCCAGAAAGCATGTAGCATCTGAACTGAGACTGGAAGGACTCCGGATCTACAGAAATAGGGAAAGCTGATGCTCAGAAGTCGGAGTGAAAACACAGAGCAGTTTTCCCTTAAGTTTCTGCAGATTAGCATTAGCTAGGGACTCCAGCTGAAGCAAGCATCATGCATGCAATGTTGAGTAATGGTCCATAATGTAACTGCATGGTTTCAGAAGTGTATGCGATGGCAGAGAGAGACATAGTGTTCGCATTACAGGTCTAAATACTTGCTAACTACCATATTTCACTAAACAAAAGATGGACATTTTTTCACGGCTAGTATCTCTGAAGATAGTCTTTCAATAAATAGCATTTTATATTGCTAATAGGCAGCATTTTTACTAGTACATTAAGTACATATATCTTATATTGATAATAGCTCAGATTTGATTGATTGTGTCATGTAACTTTAGGCACATTACTTAATCTTTCAGTGTCTAAGTTCTTACTAAATTGTACAATTTGGTAATATCCAGATCTTAGGTTGGTTATGGTAATTAAAGAAATATGTTATACGTAAAGTGCCTTAAACCATATTGTCTGGCACACAGCAATTGCTCACTACATGTTAGTTATAATCATTGCCTTTTGTAATATTCAGGGACATGAAATGAACTGAACAATTATCTGATCTTTCTCAATAGGCCATGCAAGAAATGTGTCTGTTTTATTCTCCTGTATCCCTAGTTCTTAGATACCTGTTCTATCCTGGTACTTCTTATGTATTTATTTAGTGTGGAGTTTATGAGGGACAATGAGCACAGTATGCTCTTCCCTACCTGTGTGACTAGTTTTTATTCCTGACTTTTTCAATAAGAGATCTTTTTTCTGTTTGTATTTCTATTTTTTCCAACAAGAAGTGTTTTTTTTTTGTGGTAGACCTACAATAACCCCACCATACAAAATCCAGTCCATTTAATCAACAAATACTTCATTTAATATATAAAAATCACAACATCCAAATAAACTCTAAAATACTTCAATAGCACTTTAAAAAATTAAACACAAAATTACTTTTGCCCATCCAATGTCACCCTGCAGGAGAAAATCATTGTTATTTTGCATGAATCTTCCCAAACTATTTTCTCAATGCTTTTATAAGCAAGTAGTGTGCACTGAGTGAAACAGTGATTGTGTGAGAAGATACTTAAGCCTCCATGAGCAATGTCACACAAAACAGGACAAACTCACCCGGCCAGTGGCAAAACTACCCCGTCTCCCAGGCCACACAGCATCCAGGCTTCTCCCCTCATGGCTCCCATTTCCTGATAAGAATGAACCCTGGAGACAGTTAGGTGCACTTAGGGTGGACTTTCTCCAGGAGTGAAAGCTCTGGAAAAGGTGGAGACACTCTGGAGAGCTCCACAGCATGCTCAGGAGGCTCACGCTCCCCACCATATATACTTTTAAATGCTCTTTTTCTCCCATCTGCCTGGGATTAACATCAGGCGCTCTCTTCTTCGTGGAATTATATATTTTTCAAGCTCTCTAGATGACCATCTGGCAAAATGAATGAAAATTCAAAATTCAACAACTTTTGATCCAGTGACTCTACAGGCAGAAATTGCTCCAAAGAAATATAAAGGTAACTGCAGGAGTGTATATGTAAGAATGTTCAGGTCATTGCTTTTATTTTTTAATATTATTTACTTATTTATTTTAATTAACAAATTAAAATTGTCTATATTTATCATATACAACAGGTTGTTTTGAAATATGTATAGACTGTGAAATGGCTCAATTGAGCTAAATAACATATGCATTACTCCACAGACATCTTTGTTTTAGGCGAGAACACTTAAAATGTACTCTCCTGGAAAGTTTCAAGAATACAATATATTGCTATCATGTTGTACAATAGAACTCTTGTAGTTATCCACTTGACTGACATTTTATATCCTTCGACCAAACTCTCCCCAATCCCCACCCCAATCCCAGTCCCTCATAACCACTGTTCTACCCTCTACTTCTGAGTTCAGCTTTCCACAGCATTGCTATTAAATAAGATACATCAAAAGCTGAATTAACCACTGGTAGAGGTGTTATTGTTATTGCACATATATGCAAAGATCTTTATGTGCCATTTAAAGACAACGAACCAAGGGAGGCCGAGGTGGGTGGATCACATGGGGTCAGGAGTTTGAGACCAGCCTGGCCAACATAGTGAAACCATGTCTCTACTAAAAATGTAAAGATTAGCTGTAGTCCCAGCTACCCAGGAGGTTAAGGTAGGAGAATTGCTTGAACCTGGGAGGTGGAGGTTAAGCTAGGAGAATTGCTTGAACCTGGGAGGTGGAGGTTGCAGTGAGCCAAGATGGTGCCACTGCACTCCAACCTGTGTGACAGAGACTCCATCTCAAAAATTAAAAAGTAAATAAAATTTTAAAATGATGAAACAGATCTATATTTATTGGTATAAAACTTTTTTAATGTCAAGATTTGTTTTGTTTTGAATTACAGGTTGTCATTTTCAGAATTATACACACAAACATGTAAATATTCAGTAAATCTGGAACAGATTTCAAAATTTAGCCGTGGTGGTCTCTAAGAGATTTCTAGTGATTCTTTTCTTCTCTGTAATTCACAGTATTCTCTGCTTTTTGATAATCGTCATATTATAACTTTTATAATGAAATGAGCTATTTTAATTTGAAAAAAGTGTAAGGTCTCTCTTCACTGTGAAGTTTTCTCCCAGTATTTTGTGGCTCACAGAGGCTACATCAGTCTCGGGTCCCTAACCCTTGCCTAGTTCAGCAGTATCATCTCACCCACCCTGGTCATCCCATTGTTAGAAGGAGCCAGGAAAGAAAGAAGAGAAAGGAAGAGAGGGAGGGAGAAAATGGTCTCCAAGAAAAGAAAACTATTGTCTGGTAAGACTCAGCCCAGTTTTCCTGTTAAATGATGCGAATTCGAACTGTTGATATATATCACCAACATGACATGTGAAACTATTATCTCAAAGCATATTATAAAATACTACACACGAAAACACTGACAAATATGCGGTAGTTGATGAGCACCAGAGATGAGTATTGTTCTTTTCATGTGTGATTAAAGGGGATAGACAGATGGTTTTCTCAACCTATATAACTTAAGACACAGATCCTTCACAGTACAACTTAGGATCCATTAGTATGCACAATTTTATGAAGGAAAGGCTGTGAGTGTCGCTCTTTCTTTTTTTTTTTTTTGAGACGGAGTCTCGCTCTTGTTACCCAGGCTGGAGTGCAATGGTGCAATCTCGGCTCACCGCAAACTCCGCCTCCTGGGCTAAGGCAATTCTCCAGCCTCAGCATCCCGAGTAGCTGGGATTACAGGCACGTGCCACCATGCCCAGCTAATTTTTTGTATTTTTGGTAGAGACGAGGTTTCACCATGTTGACCAGGATGGTCTCGATCTCTTGACCTCGTGATCCACCCGCCTCGGCCTCCCAAAGTGCTGGGATTACAGGCTTGAGCCACCGCGCCCGGCCCGAGTGTCGCTCTTTCTTGTTTAGGTGGAAAGGGGTGACTGATTTCTGGCGGACTTGTTTTATATAGTTCGCAAAATCTATTCCGCATTCATGTGGTTTGTAAGGTGGTTGTTATCACTTGGAGAAAAAACAATCCCAAAAGAAGAGCCTTGCAGAATCTAATATGCAGGATTCTTTTTTTTTCTCAGATTTTGCCCACTTCTGTCTCATTTTGCTGACAGGAGACTGAGAGTCCCTGGAGGCAGGGTGTACTTAAAAAAAAAAAAAAAAAAAAAAAAAAAAAAGGTGTTTTTACCCCAACTTTACGACAGTTGAAAGAAAATCCACTTTCTCCCTGTATCCCAGCAAGGAAGAATGACAAGTCCACCTCAACAGAAAGGCCAGGATTCTATCAATCACTAAATCGCCAGTATCTCCAGCTACCTTCAACTCCATCCTTCCTACGCATTTGGCTGTTTATTTTTGTCAGAAAGACAGACTCAGTCTTCTGCCAGGGAACTTTCTAGCATCCTGCCTCTAACATCTGCACAGAACAGAATGCTTTGGAAGATCAGATGAAAAGAAAAAAAAGCCTCTGAAAAGAGTGAGAAAGCTACTAGTGTTTCTGTTTGAAGCAACAGAATGTGCAAGAGTAAGTGCCAACTACACCCTATCAATGAACCCTTGTGCCCGGCCAAAGCTTCAGCCTGCAAAGGGACCCGAGGCCACTTAAAGGTGAAGGAGACGTGAAGTGACTTCCCGCTCCAGCCACGCAGAGCGCATCCTGGACAGAACAACTGTTCCGCAGGCACTCAATCCTCTCCTTATGTAAAATACTCTGAAATTGCACTTGAAAGCTTTTCTCACTTTTTATTGTTTTTCTTCTCCAGCACATTGTAAACTCTAGAAAACAGAAAATATGGCTAATATATTCGCCAATCAGTGTCTGCCACACAGTAGATACTAAACGATAGTTGAAGGAAAGAGGAAAGGAAGGAGGAAGGGAGGGAGGAAGGAGGAAAAGAAAAGTGGAAGGGAAGAAGGAAAGGATTTTTGTATTTATCCAATTACATTTCCTCTGCCATCCACACTGCGTTGCTTGCTTTTTGAAAATGCACCTAGCACAGTGCCTGGCAGGGAGTAAAATAATCCATAAATCTCTGCTAAATTTAGTAGATTCTTTAGTGCTCATTAGGTTAACAGTAGATTAAAGTTGACATAGTTTTAAAGAATGCTTATATAGATATGCTTATAAATAAGTACTTTAAATGAATTGGTTTCATAAGAAGTTTTTTAATCTGTTCTGATAGGGAATTATTTCTGTTACTAAATCTTCTATATGCCAGGCATATTTCTAAGGCTGGAGCAAGTGACTGTCATTGTGCCAGGACTGGATGGGTCAGCTTTTCACAGGCAGGCAGTCTGCCTGTTCCAATCAGAGTCGCTCTAGGTATATCAGTTAGGAGAACATTTGGAGGGCTGGTTCCAGTGGACTAGAAAGATTATGCCTCAACTTAGCTATTGTGATACTTTAAGATTATTCTTTGTCAGAGGTGGAATGACCTGCTCCCAGAGTTCCCTCCTGCGAGGACAAACATACATTAAAATGCCATGGGAGAGGGAAGAAGGGAACCGTTACCAGATTCTATCTTCTCCCCAAAGCTCATGTTCTCTGCTGCTCAGAGCTATTGCTAAGCTACAGCATGGATGCAAACTTTCCAGGTCCAGTCTCAGCTTTACCTGGCTGAATGAGTGATGTGAGAAGGCCAGAGCATCCTTCTCAGTTTTCTAATCTGCAAAATGGGAATAAAGAATCTCTGTCTCTGGAATAATTGTTGTCGTGATGAAAGTGAGCTTCAGCATTATCTTGTGCAGCATTGATCATTGTGCACATAGGTTGCTGCTAGACGCCTCTAAGGAGTCCTTATTGTGTGTCAAGAATTTTGCAAAGCACTTTAAGTGTATCGAAAATCCACAACGAACCTATAAAGAAGGTCATAGTTCTAGTAGTCGTACCTTCTACAGATGTGGAAATTTATAGACAGATGTGAAAGACACAGGCCCTGCACGAGAAAGGCAATGATTTTATTCCAGTGATTGAAATCAGAAGAATGACTCAGTAATAGCTCAAAGGAAAGGAAGGAACCTGAGGTCCCACACAGGCAGGTAGACATGAGTCGTACGGGAATCTGGAGGAAGGATGGCCCAGGGTCCTGTCACCAAGGAGGGGTGCAGGAGGGGAACATTTGGAGTATGTGGTGAGCCATTTCCTGGCACACAAAAGTGGTGGAAGTGCTCACTGGTGCTGTATTCCTGGAAGTACAAGGTTGAGGTAAAATTCAACATTAAAATTCTTGGGTAATTCGTCTGTAATCCCAGAACTTTAGGAGGCCAAGGAGGGCAGATCACTTGAGGCCAGGAGTTTGAGACCAGCCTGGCCAACACAGCGAAACCCTGTCTCTACTAAAAACAAAAATTAGCCGGGTGTGGTGTTGGACACCTGTAATCCCAGCTATTTGGGAGGCTGAGGCAGGAGAATCGCTTGAACCTACAAAGTGGAAATTGCGTGAGCCAAGATCATGCTAGTGCACTCTACCAGTTTTGGCAAAACAGCGATTACTTGTTCACCCCAATTTAATAGTAATGGTAGTAAATAGAATTTTAATAATGATGGCAGTGCTAATAGGACACATTTATTGATGATTTGCTCTGTGACATGTCCCTCGTACACTAAAATCTTTATATGCTTTACATGTACAATAACCCTATAGAGAAATTTCCTAACTGACTTTTCTGTTTTGCAGGTCAAAATGTCAACTTTCACAGAGATCAAATAAAACTCATCCATGTGAAACTGACAGGAAGTGGAAGCATTGGTTTTGCACCTGGGCTCTGACTTCCCATCAGATTCACCCCTGATAGTATAGGAGAGTTTCTATGCAATGAAGTCTCTTTATATGTTCAGCAATGAAACAACTCTCTTGATGAGAACAAGAGTTTTCTTTCTTTCTTTCTTTCTTTCTTTCTTTCTTTCTTTCTTTCTTTCTTTCTTTCTTTCTTTCTTTCTTTCTTCTCTCTTTCTCTCTTTCTTCTTTCTTTTCTTTCTCTCTCTTGTCTTTCTGTCTTCTTGGAGTCTTGCTCTCTCACCCCAAGTGGATTGCAATGGTATAATCTTGGCTCACTGCAATTCTGCCTCCCGGGTTCAAGCACTTCTCCTGCCTTAGCCTCTCAAGTAGCTGGGATTACAGGTACCCACCATCATGCCCAGCTAATTTTTGTATTTTTGTAGAGATGGGATTCACTATGTTGGGCAGGTTGGTCTTGAATTCCTGACTTCAAGTGATCCACCCACCTCAGTCTCCCAAAGTGCTGGGATTACAGACAGGTGTGAGCCACCATGCCTGGCCAGCTCTGTTTCTTTTCTTTCAATTTTCTTGTTTTAACTTATAGACAAGCCTCACACAACATGCCTGAGTCTTCCAAGATCCCTGAGTCTTCCAAGATCTCTGGTTAGGGATGAAAAATTACATAATAGTGACTTTCAAGATTAAGATGATTGTAATGTTAATTTTTTAAAATGGCTAGAAAGAGAGGTCAAATATATGGGAAAATCAATCTAGAGAAAATGTTTACATTGACTTCCTAATGCTCTACATATCATTGCATGCATTGATAACTGTGAGATACACAAAAGGGTTATGCTGAGGTATCATCTCTGAGAATTCAGTACAGGAGAGAGGTCGAGATTGCCTTTTGTGAGTAAATCCACAAGCCAACTTAATAGATCAGAGCAGAATTAAGGCAAAATTACTTCAAGATAATGAAAGGTCTCTCTGGCTAGAGCAAACCTGAACTGAGGAATTAGCTTTTTGAAGAAAGAATGTGCCTTTTAAGAAGAGAAAGAGGCCGGGCGCGGTGGCTCAAGCCTGTAATCCCAGCACTTTGGGAGGCCGAGGTGGGTGGATCACGAGGTCAAGAGATTAAGACCATCCTGGTCAACATGGTGAAACCCCATCTCTACTAAAAATACAAAAAATTAGCTGAGCATGGTGGCGTGTGCCTATAATTCCAGCTACGCAGGAGGCTGAGACAGGAGAATTGCCTGAACCCAGGAGGCGGAGGTTGTGGTGAGCCGAGATCGTGCCATTGCACTCCAGTCTAAGTAACTGAAACTCCGTCTCAAAAAAAAAAAAAAAAAAAAAGAGAAAGAAGTAGAGCGTAGTTAAAAAAAAGTGAAAAAACAAACACTGAGTGGTTGCACCCAAGCCCCGTTCAGGAAAAGAATGTGGTTTCCTATGTGCATGTGAAGCTGATGCCCTTCGACAGCGGAAGGCAACTAGTCAGACCTTTTCCTAGTTTCACACTCACTCTGCAGGTTAAAGGCGATCAGTAAAAATCCCACTGTCCTCCCTGATTGG